GAGACTGGGCGGTGAGGGGTGGGAGGCGACGCCGAAACCGGGAGCGGGAAGCTTGGCGTGGGGAGGGAGGAGGCCCCAGGGACTCGGTCGTTGAGGTATGTGGAGGACATCCTGGGGCATGAAGAGAGTTAATGGGGAATTCTGAGGGGACGTCGTGGGGTGGCAGGGAACGGGTCTGGGACAGACGGGTGTTTAGTCAGGGGGCGCTTTCGGAGAGGAGGTGGGAGGAGGCGGGACTGGGTTGGAGGGCCGTCGAGCACCTTGGAGGGGCTCGAGTCAGCCGCGGGAACCGTGTCCTGGCCAGCGCGGTTGTCTTCTGAACAGAGAGGGGAACCCTTTGCCTCTTGCCGCTCTCCAAAGCCTGTGGCTGCAGGGACCCTGGATGTGTTCATCTAGGGATGTCTATTTTGAAGTCTCTTTTTCTTGCTCTCTTTAGAGTGTGAACATGGCTACGCCTCATCATTCCCCTCCATGCCGAACCCCCGGCTACAGCATTCAAAGCCCCCACGGAGGTTGAGCCGGGCACAGAAACACAGCAGCGGGAGCAGCACCACCAGCACTGCCAACAGGTAGCAGTCTAGGAGGGAGGGAACACAAATCCACAGTCCCTGTTCTACTGACCTGTGTTTTTCCTCTAATGCCACTTCCGGAGCAATACAAAATGGGTTTCTTTACCACTACCCTGGGGATTTGGCACTTTTAAAATAATAAGGTCTAGGAATCATAGCCTGGCTTTCTGTTGAAGAGAAGGAATAGAATATAGAAAGACAAAAAGTTCTTGTTGGGACTGTTCAGATGAGAGGTCTCTTGACTGTGCTGACAGCAAGTCCACAGACTTGGCAGCATGTGTCCATGCCTGTAGCCACATGCCAAATGTAATCTTGGTCCAGCTTTCATTTTTCTTTCCAAGTTTAAGATGATCCAAGAAGAGTTTTTAAAAATCAGAAACAGCTCTCACAAGATATAAAGCAGAATTAAGAGCATTGTTAAAGGAATAAAAATATTTGGTTGGAATAGGAAGTTAGTGGGCATGGTCTGTTTGTTGTTCAAGGCAGAAGGGAAAGACATGCTGTGGAAGTTTTACATTATTAGAAGATTGGATTGGTATTGGAGCTCTACTACTAAGAGATAAAAGATGGTTACTCTTAAAGTAGGTAGATTTTTCAGGATATGCTTGTCTTAGAGGTACTCAGACTTAGTTGACTTCAGTTTCTGAAAATTTTTGTTACTGACTGTCTCTTTATATTTTTTCTGGGAAGCCAGTGACTCCCAAGGCTTAATCTCCTGGGAAGTTTTCAAAAGTCCTTTATTTATTTATTTATTTTTGGTATTGGGGGATTGAACCCAGGGGCACTTCACAACTGAGCTATATCCTAAGCCCTTTTTATTCTTTTTTATTTTGAGACAAGGTCTCCCTAAATTTCTGGGTCTGCAACTTAGGGGCTTCTTATACTCCTTTTTATACTCCTGCCTCAGCCTCCTCATTTGCTGGGATTACAGGTGTGTACCACTGTGCTCGGTTTCAAAAGTCATTTCTTAAAACATTTGCCACCTTTTCCATCCATAAAAGGAAGTTAAATGAGACCTCTATTTCTGATTTCCTAAACACAGAGAACATAGAGAATGATTCATTTTGGGGGATGGAGCAGAGTGAATTGTGAGTAATGAAGCTTCCCTGAGGCTTTGGGAAACTCCATCCAGGTGGTTGGGTAGTTATTTGGGGAGGGAGGTTGAAGAGGGAGCAGTAGGAGATCTTGATGCGGAAAAACCTGAGGGTCCTAGATAACAGAACATGAGGTTAGATCTTCCCACTCTACTTTTCAGATATCACTGAGGCAAAACTAGGATTTGTTCTCCCTTTGACTAGCCTTTAGAGTTGCATATTTCCTTTTTGACTTCTTAAGACTGTTCTGCATTTTTTAAACTTATTTTTTAATTAAAAAATATCCCTTAGTTTAATAATTTAATTTGTGAGTCTAGAGAATTTGGTGTCATATAGTGTGTATGAAGTGAAACTATGTAGTATGATATATAGCACTTAAAAATATAAATTTGTTTGCCCTTAAACTATCAGGAATTAAACCCTATTAAGGAATTATGTATGGTTCAATTCATACGTAGATTAGAACAAAAAAAGTTTTTTAAATTTGAAAATTTAGGAAAAGTACCATATGGGAAACCAGACCTGAGTTCTCTCATGCTGTATGTATTAAGTTTTATTCAGAAATCATGTATATATGATCTCATTACATTTCTCCTCTGTCCCTGTTTTCATCTGTAAAATGAGAGTGTTAGATACTCACCAAGGTCCTCTTTTCCCCTGAAGTTCTGTGACTGATTTATTGATAGTTTAGAGATTAGTTAGTTTATTAGTGTATATTCAGTATATCTTCCTGTCAGTGCAGATATGTCATTTTTACTATCAATTCAAGGATTTCAGAAGCATAAATAAGACATTTTTGGATTTTATTAATTATATTATAGGTCACTAATAGGAAAGTGTAATTTAGTTTTCTTGAATGTGCTCAGTTTAGAATTTTGACTAAGGGATGTTTTCTTTCATGCTAGTATTCCTGTTCAGTACTACAGTATTAATTACTGTCTTTTAGCACGGTGTGTTAGAAAGTTTGTAAAATTACAAGCATGCTATATTAGTGGGGTAGTATCCAAGGGAGAATACATATGCATTGGACTACTTAGGATTAGGACTAAAGAGGGGTAATTTTTTATGGAAATTTCAAGTAGCAAGAAAAAGAAAGATTTTAAAATGTATTTTCCTAAGGTAGGTCCATCATGTGTGTGGTTTAGGCTGAGGCGAATGAAAGAGAAGTAGTATGATAAAGTGAAACACTAGACATTGTTTTCCTAAGCTATTTATTTAAAATGTCTTGTCCATGGAAGTAGGGAAACTAACTACAAAATTCCAGTACTGGGGTATGTAGGAAATAGTCCTTTGGTAAAAGGGCACTGTAGGCTTCCTATTAACTAAGCTTATTATTGGATTTAATAGAAAATTTTTTTATACTGGTCAGATTTGTTTATCATCTGAAACAAAGAAAGGAATGACAAGTGTATGTATTGTATTTTTTTTCCAGATTAAAAAGCTACTTGTGTAGAAGTGGCTACTCTTACTATACATCTTAAACATAGGTAACTTATGTCATAAAACAATATTTGTGCCAGGCATGATGATTCATACCTGTAACCCAGTGACTGTGGAGGCTGAGGCAGGAGGATCACAAGTTCTAGACCAGCCTCAGCAATTTAGCAAGGCCCTAAGCAACTTAGCAAGAGAGATCCTGTCTCAAAATTGAAGGGGAAAAAAAAAAAAAAAAGGAACTGGGATATAGCTCAGTGATAAAGAACTCATGGGTTCAATCCCCAGAGCTCAAAACAAATAAAAAACCCCAACATTTGTTTCTTTGACAGTGTAGTATCTTTTAAGATATAATAAGTGGTAGCTGACTTCTTTTGCCTAATGTTCTCAAGTATACTATGATATTCCTAAGACAAAATGTTATTTTATAGATTTATGCTGAGAATTAGTTGACTCATAATATAAATTTTTAAGCCTCCTTCCCCCTAAATCTTGAAATCTTCTTTTCATGAAGCACAAAGGAGAGAAAATAAATGATATATTGTGATGTTACCAATGTGAACCTTGCATATCCTAGTAATCTTTATCTAACTGACAATTGGGAGGTGAGACCTATAATATATAATTATTTTTAAATACATGCTTGATTTCACTGTAATCCTGGTCATAGCTTTCTGGTACTCTTCCTATAATCAACCTTGTAAGATGTGACTGCCTCTAGAGAATCTCTCTGCAATAACTATCTGGCTCATTGGGGAACATCAGAACTTAGATTTTGTGTCACAGCTGAAATTGAGATCTATTATCTTTAAAACACTAGCCCTGATATATCTAAATATCTCTTGAATCTGGCTTCTGTTCTCGTAACTTCATTGCTATCCTAATTTCAGCTATTATCACTCACAACTGCAGTAACCTCCTCCTTGGTATTCTTGTAACAACATTCTCATGAATTCTATCAGTTGGCTTTCTTTCAGTGCCTTTAACATCACGTTTCCTTTTACCTCAAGGTCTTTGCATGTACTCTTGTTCCCTGCTGACAATAATTTTTTCTTGCTCTTTGCCAAGTTATCTCTATCTAATAATACTTTTCCTTCAGTGCAAGCATGACTTCCTCAGGAAAGCCATTCCTCGCTTCACAAGGTAGATCGAGTCTTTATATACTTCATGGCACTCCTACTTTTTCTTCATAGTGTTTATCACATTTATAGAAGTATAGTTATCTGAATATTTTGTAAATTTGTGGCCCATTTGTTGGACTAAAAACTCCAAGGGGACAGGGATTGAGTCTCTTCTGTTTAAACATTTATCTTTACTACCTGTCATATAGTGTTTTGTACACAGTAGGTGTTTTCCAAAGAATGAAAGATTTTTCAATCCCAGTTAGGCTGTCTCAAATGAAAACTTGAGTTTTTGTTTGTTTCTTGCTGAGTACCATATTAGATTAGGGGGAGAACTGATGGAAGAAAATGAAACCCCTGCTTTGGCAGGCTTTTTGATTTTATTTTGTGTTCTAAGAGATGTTAATACACTTGGAAATAAAAACAATCTACAGTATTTGAAGAATAAAAATCTCCAAATTGCCAGTTCTTTTAATTGTGTATTTTAAAAACTATACAGAAAGCTACACTTCCTTTAAAGAACATTAACTGCCATACTATGTTATCAGAATAAAGTGATATCAAAAGAACCAGAAGTCTGTCAATATCGGCATGGGGCCTATGAAAGAGAGCTAATATATTAAAATGAAACACTCAAAGAGTTATTTCTCCTTAGCCTAAATGGAAATTTCTTTAAAATTTCTGTTTCATGGAAGTAGGAAAACTGACTGTAAAATTGCAATACCTGGGACATTTGGAAAATAGTGCATTTGTAAGGGGATACTTGGAATAAATATTGTTATGACTCTGTGACACATCCATAATAATTGCATTGTTTTGAGGAGACCTAGAAAGTTGTAACCAGTTTATGTTTGGATTTCAGTTGATGGGTAATTTTTTTCTCTTTAGAGTCCTGTGGATACTAAAGAATCTCACAATGTCAACAGTTCCACCTACTAAGACCAAGGCATTAAACAAACACACACCTTTCCTTTTGCTTATAATGCTTTGGTTTAACTTTTCTTAAACTAAAGAATAAAGAAATCTTTTTGTCTTATTTAAAAGGATTGTATTGTTATAGTTTTAGCATTACATTCTTTTTGGCTATCTTCATGGATTTGTATTTTATTTTAATTTTGGCAAGGAGAGGTGGTGAATTCTTTTTCTAGAATAGTTATGGAGGATTTTTTCCAGTAGAAGTAATTCATGATCTTTTATCTTCTGTTTTAATCCTTAAATATGTACCTATTTTTTCATAGAAGAATTGAATAAGGACTAATGTATGTGAAACTTCTTTTCTGTTTTTCAAGTTTTCTATACTAAAAACATTTTCTGGGCTGGGGCTATAGCTCAGTGGTAGAGCACTCATCTA